TAAAGAAAATTTCTGGTGATTTTAACTTCATTCACGGTTTATTTATGGGTTATTAAAACTACATCATAAGTAAAAATTATACTTTCAAATGGCATACTATGAGAAATAAACAGTGTCGCTTCCCTTTCTGGATTTCTTAAGCTAAATACACTCCAATTATGATGATTGTGCTTGCCTCAGTTCCCATGAGCCTGCATCCTATGCCTTTGGAAGTGTCCACGAAAGCAAATTAGAGATAAACTGGTTAAAATATCGGCAATACTTATTACAATTAGGAGCAAGTTTATGTGCTTAAATCTTGCCAGGTTCAGCACAAACACTGACAATGATAAGTTGGCTGATGAAAACCAATCAATACCATTTCCCACACTTCACTTCTGTAATGCTTCACAGGATTACAGATGATTAACTACAGAAGAATATGTCAGCAGTAAAAATTAGTGTTATCTGTGGCCCGTGTTCATTGGTCATTTAATTCGTATAAGTCAAATTATTTTTGACTTAATGTGATTCTAAATGACACTAAAGCCATGCAAACCAGAACCGAAATAGTCATTGAGATGTAGTGCTCTGTAATCCATGATGAATGACTTTTAATTTAGATTTATCCTTTGTTATACATAAACTGTATTACTTAGAGTGGTGAATTTATAGAATTTAAAACACGAGAAAGAACATTTCTGCATCTTGGGTGACCCAAACGCTCCTAAGACTCCGGTTTTAGCAAACGTTGCTTCGGAGGGAAAGTGAGTCTGCAGCACAATCTCGGTATGTGATGACCAGAGGTCTATGAAGTAGTTGGGCAGCCCCTGCAACCCCCATCCGATCCATGCACATAAATAAAACCAACCCAACCAACCAGCTGACTACCCGTTGCCATTGAGTCTAAAGGTGCCTCTATAGAACAGAACGGAAAGATGATAAACCTTTCTCTTTGGGAGCTGCCACTCATTGCTATTGGGTCAATTCCAACTCACAGTGACCCTACAGGACAGCAGAGACCTGCCCCTGTGGGTTTCCAAGACTGAAAATCCTTATGGGAACAGAACAGAATAATATAATCTAAGCAGGGGCATGATTCCACTCTCCCCTTTTAACTTTTTTGAAAATTATCTTCCTAGTCCTATTCGCACTTTTTCTCAATTGCGAAACCCGAGAGTCTAGTAGAACGATCTTGATTGTCCTCTCTAGGACCAATCAGAAGATTCTATCTCAGCTACTGTAATAGGAAAAAGGGGAAAGAAAATAGGATTTGCAACATAAAGATTCTGACTTAACTTTTCAGAAATGCACACTGAATGACACTTGAACTATAAATCCTAGCACACAACCATAAGGGGATAGGCAGGCCTTGATTCTCATACTTCAGGCCGCTTTGATTGAAGACTGGGAGTTATAGGATGTGGCCTGCTGTCAACCTGGTTTTGGTTCTGTTCTTGTTGGCATTCCAGTTTTCTTCTTCTTTTTTTAATAAGAACAGTCCAGAAACCTTTAGCAGCTAGATCTTTAATTAAAGCCAAAGGGCAGCTTTAAAATTAGTTATCTACTTTAATTAATTGTCATTCAGGTTGTACATTCTGTGTCTATACTATTCTTGGCTATTAAACAGTGGAAACTTAAAAAAATAGAGACATGTTTGAAATGACTGATTTAGAGAAAACTAATCTAAAAATCTGGAGAAATACAACAGGGCATATTATTTTGCAAAGTGTCTCTGTATTTTGCAAATGTCAGTCCAGTATTTTCCTTAAATAGAAAGTAAGTTTCCATTAATTGGAGAGGGAGAACTTTTAGTTTTTAGGGAAACAATCATTGATCTGATGCCACGTCAGTTGACAGTTGTTTTTCCATAATTGCCATGAACTGGGCTGTAAATTAAAGACTAATTTAGAGATTCATGACTTAAAGTCACTTGTATCCTGAACCGTATGGAACAAGAAGCTGTTCTGAGTCTCACTCAAAATTGATACCAAATTATTTTAAATTGTATTTCCATATTGAATTCAAGCAATTTTTTCCCAGCAGGCATTTGCAATAGTTCTATAAATGCTTGGTGTATTAGACCAGTTTACTACAGAAACAAGTCCAGAGCCACTCATATAAAAGTATAAGAAAGAACTTTACATAAAAGAGCAATTGTGCATTGAGAAAACACCCCAGCTCAGTCCAGATCAGGTCCTGAAGTCTAATATTAGCCCATATGTCTGGTACTAGTCCATAAATTCCTCTTCAGACTCATGCAGAACATGCAATGATGCTAAATGCAGGAATATCACAGGCCGGTGGGTGAAAAGTCTTGTGGATCCAATGCCGGTGGAAGTATCTCAGCATTGGCCCAGGTCTGCATGTAACTCCTTCAGCTCTGAGTGTCTGAATGACAGGAAAGGTGAAGCAGAGAGAGAGTGTGGCCTACCTCCAGGGAAAAAGACAGGAAGTTCCCAGAATCCTTGAGAAGGCTACACCCACAAGGAGGCGTCATCAGACTCTGACCTGATTGACGGGCTAGACTCCACCCCTTCACTTATAATACCCTCAAGTTGACACGAGATGATGTAACTACCACGCTTGGTATACAGTGCCTAAGAAAGCAGAACTCGAGTTCACGAAAATGAAAATCCATAGGGTAGATGCTTCTTCTATGGTACATATGCCATAAGGTAAAATGACTTCCCTCTCATCATATTGGATCTATTCTATATCTGTGGGTCTCAATTTTGATTGAGCAACAGAATTGCCAGTGAAGGATTTTAAAATCTCTGTGACCAGGCAGGAGTACTGGTAGTGTGGTGGATTATGCATTGAACTGCTAACCACAAGGTGAGTGATTCAAACCCACCAGCTGCTCTGCTGAAGAACGATGAGACTTCCACAAAGTTTTAGTCAAGAACGATGAGACTTCCACAAAGTTTTAGTCTTGGAAACTGACATGGGCAGTTCTACGCTATCCAATTATAGGGGCATCATGAGTCAATACCCACTCAATGGCAGTGAGGCTTTCTTTATGTAACCACACTGCACCCAAGACTAATCAAATCCCACTCTTTGAGAGGGTCGAACCTCGGCATGATTCATTTCATTAACTGACCAAGAGATTTGACCATGTGGCAAAATTTGTGAACAGTGAGCAAGCACAGCCAGTCAATGAGTAAACTGGCTGCATCATTTTGGTTTAAAATTGGCCATGTCAAACTTCCATTTCGATTTTCAGTTCTGAAAAAAAGCACAACAAAAATGAAGCTACCTCTTTTTAAAAAAGCCAAATCAAATGTACATGGTGGATGATGATACCCTTTAACGTGTCTGCACAACTCACAAGAAACTCTAAAACCGCCTTCCTTCCTTGCCCACAGGGGAGGGTTCTGGGGGCCGTTGGATCAAAGTAGGCCACTGGAATCCCAACTCTGGTTATAATTTGAAGTTGAGTTTAAAATCAAAACCGAGAAGTTACATTTCTATCAGTTGGATGTATGGACTTGAGTGTGGCTGAGAGTTCGGGGAGATAGACTGAGCACCCAAGAATGTTGGGGGCGGTGAGAGTCAGTGTGGGGAGAAGAGGACACACAGGCAACAGGAAGCAGGGATGGGTAGCAGAGACCCTGTTTCTGCCTGGCCTCCCTCTGTGGTAACAGTACCTTCTTCTCCTCGGGAACTTTCTCAGCCCTATTCTATGTATTCCTGGCGTGATGGGCAAGTGAAGCCAACCAGCCTCTGGCTGCTTGGGCAAAGAACCAAGGACAGAAAAAAGGTGAAACAGTTATTTTGGTGATCATTATCATGACAAACTGTGAGTTACTACCATAGGGAGATACAGAATTTTCCTGATTCATTTTCTTACTGGGGTTATTGTTCAAGATGTCTTTGAATTTGGATCAAGGGTGTCTATTGCTTATAATTCCAACACATTCTTCATAGCTTTCAAGGTTCCAACTCAAATCTATTTTGAGAGTTTGTAGCCTTCTACTTTGGGGTGATATCCTTAAGATAAGTTACCCCTTAGCCCTAGCCCCACTTAAGATAGGTCATTATGTTCTTGATACTTCTAAACACAAGTATTAATAATACAAACTTACTTATTCTAATTAACTCCCCTATTTGTGTGGATAGCATTGAGATTATCAAACGCAGGGACACTAAGTTATTATTTCATTACAAGCCCAAGCCTTACACCAACCTTCAAGGTCATAATCAAGATCATCCAACTCTTTCATTATTTTGTGTGCTTTGTGAAGGCCTGCTTCCTCATTTTCATTTTATAAGTATGAAGATCTTGGGAGTAAAATTCATAACAAAGGTATACTTTGTGAACAACAGGATTAAAAGCTTATCAAACACAAACATGGTTCTAAATAATGTATGATCCTTGACACAGGAGCCCAACTCTACCTTGATAAAAAGAGCTCTTATTTCTTCTATCAAGCAACATTAAATGAAATTACAGTACTCCCATTAAATCCAACTGCACACGAATACTTTTTCATTTCCAATGGTACTCTTCTTTATTAAAAAATCTTTATTAAATAACAAAATGTGCCAGCTAATATAGTGAGTTCTTCCTCAAGCTCAATATTAATGCACTTGGCACACAATCCAAGGCCGCCTGGGTGAACGCGGGAAGCACACTTCTTTTCTGCTTTGTGTAGCAAGCAGAGTTATACTCACCAAACTTTCGAGATCAAAAAGAAGCCTCCCAGGTTTCTCTGGGCTCACGTTACAGAAGGGTCAGATGTGTGAGGTGTCCTCCAAATGGATGCCTTATTGTTAAATTCCCCCAACCTCGCCAAACCTCCACAGTGGCAAGCATCTTAAATGATTAACAGTGTTGTGATCTTTGGCAAACTCTGCATCAACTATAACGAAGTGGAAATATTGGGGCCCGTGCCAATACTTTGTGGTTATGAACTAGCCCGTTCCCAATGTGTCTTCTCCAGCCAGTCTAAGGAAAGGTAAGCGGCATCCAGGGGTATTCTGGCAAAGAAAGTGAGGTGAATCAAAAGAGGCTATTTAGGAGGTATTCTTTTGGCCAGCAGGCTTTATTTTTAATACAAATATGTAATAAAATAAAAGGTACCCAAATATATTTTAAACAAGAATACATTCTGTTTCTTGTATATCAAGCCATCATTTACAGATTAACACTGGCAAAAATTGAATTAATAACTCTTAATTTGTTTACATACAATTATGTGAAAGAAAAAAAAATTTATATGCAGGAAAAGAACCAACACATAAGAATCAATTCAAAGTCTTAAAAGCTTGTCTTTGTTATTGAATTTCCTCACAGGTTCAAGGTCGCACACATCTACAAAAAGAACACAGCCATTCTTAACATGGAACATTATTTACAAAATAAAGTTCATTTCTCTCGGTGACTTTAGATTCCACAGCTCTGCCCAGCACACACACTGTGGTGCCTTCTGTGACGGGAGCTGAAGTGTCAGACTGCTCCAGGTGAGGGGTCGGCGGCAAGCCTTCTTTATCCTGAAAGGACGGATTATACCAACTCATAGTATTTCCCAGTCTGGGGGTCAAAGTAGCAGTTCAGACACGGGTCATACAACAGAGTCAGCACTTCTTCGTCCTCGTCCGCATTCAGCTCTTCTTCACCTATGAGGAAGGGGCGCCACAGACACGTTAGCTGCCAGCCTGGCCCAGAATCCTTACAGGTGCACCATGAAAAGGGCGAGGGAGGGGGGTCACCACCGCTCCTTGGAGAGTGTCTGTATTCGAGGACAATGCTTACAGTGGCGTGGAGGAGAGTGGTGGCCGAGATGAGACACCATGTCATTGGTATGAAATGGAGAAGAAGCGTGCAATGACCACAGGGCCAGCTTTAGTGTGATGGATAAAAGAAATGTGCTGTTCAGGACTGGCAAGGGGGAGAAACAAGAAAGCAGAGGTCAGAGGACTCAGGAGTTCTGCTCATTACGATGAAGAGAAACCTCGGGCATGTTTCACAACTTAGTCATCAGACAGTTCTCTATTTGAGAGCCAGGGCTACACAGAATGCAAAGCAATTAAACGATCTAAGAAAGAATCCATCCTCCCTCCACCCCACTCCCACCACAGATCCTAAAATGACCCCCAAACAAACGTGAATTAAAATAACAGTGTCATCTAGGAACAGAAGATAATTAAGCGGAGAGCATATCTAGAAACACAATGTCACAAGGTCTGTAATTTTATTCGTGGAAAGAAGACCTGTCAACTTTGCTGGGAATCAAAGCCTGGTTTAGTGCTTTTTCCCTCGAGACAGTCAGATGGATGGTTCAGATCCTACGGTCTATGCGGGCATCAAGGTTTGATGGTTTCCAACAAAGAGGCATGAGCTGAAAAGTGAGCCCCATCTGCATCTTTCTGAAAGTCCCCGTCAGGGAGAAGATTAGAGTAGGCTCAGGGAGAGAGGATGGTTACAACACTCTTCTCCATTGTTGCCCTCAAGCCATTTCCAACTCAGGGTGCCTCCATGTGTGCAGAATAGAGCTGTCCCACTGGGCTCTCAAGGCTGCGGACTTTCAGGAGCAGATCGCCAGGCCTGTTTTCCAAGGCACCCGTGGGTGGGTTCGAACCACCAGTTAGTGCCGTGCTCAAATGTTTGCATCACCCACGGACTCCTGCTCTCTTCATTATGACAGATTACCAAGGATCATGAAAACCATGCCCCTGGGTGGTAAGACCACCAACAATCAGTGTCAGAGGGTCTCTGACAGGGAGCAGGGGCAGGGAATAGGGCTTGGGGCACAATAAAAGGTTTAATATATATGGAATGTTCGTGGAAAGAGTGAATAAAGGATAATATATGAAGCCCATGCTCCCAGTGTCACGGCCCAGTAATGGGAGGTAATGATGGTGGTAGGATTTCATTTAACCCAGTCAAATTGGACCAAGCTGCCACAGGGCACTATCAGGACATTGACCAGCTGGAGAAAGTCTAGGGGAGAGGGTCTGTAGTGTAATGTTTCACAAATGCTCCTTGACATCATTTTGAGGCTCTGGCCAAAGGCTAGTTCAGTTCCCTTTCTTAAGCATCAGATTCCATCCACTTTCCCATTGCTCCCTTTGTTGGGCTCTCGCATTGCTGGGCCTCTATACATTCACCTTAAGCACCTGAGGCCAGGTGTCCTACAACCCAGGACAGAGTCTGCAGAATTATTCAAAATACCCACTGCCCAGGAAGTGTTGAGACCTACCTAACCCACCCTTCTCACTGCATATAAGTCCTCTCTTACAGTTCTTGTCTCTTTGTACAGCCCCAAGTGGCCCAGCCTCATAGCATCCTGAGAGCACCCAGGACAGCAAGTGTGACCCATCTTTAACTACTTGCAGGTGCTCAGGCTTGATTCCCATTCAACAATACCATGCTCCAGGTGCTGCTATTTTATCAAATCAAAACAGGGTCCAGGTGTGGACTTGAAACTGTACCACACAAATAGTTTATTCTAGTCAGTACTATGGGATATACTGCAAATGGAGAATAGAGGGGGACCTTTTTCTATATTCTCATGTACTTGTCCCAATAATTCTCTTTATAACTGGGAAATGCCTGCAGCAATAAATATATTTAATAAAAAAAGACTGAAAGAAACTGCCCTATAGCCCTTCCTCTGCCCACCCTTCTTCTTCTACGCACCAGCAAACACTTAACACGACCTTCCTCTGTGCCAAGCACTGAGCTAGGGGACAGGAAGGATGGCAGCAGCCAGGCCTTGTTTTCAAAGACCGGGCCGTGTGGTGAGGGAAGCAGACACGAATTTCCCAAGACTCTTGGGAGAGCAGGCTAGCAGCCTTACAGAGTGGGGCATCACAGAGGAATATTGTTTTGCCTTGCTTACTAATATCTCAGGAGCCCCGATGGATAGAAAGTACTTTCTCAGCCAGTAGCTCATCTCACCGTCACTGCTTTGTGAAACAGGAACGACCTTGCCATTTAAGGGCACTTGGGGAGTGAGAGGCAGTGCTGGGGAGCGAGAGGCAGTGTTGGGGAGTGAGAGGCAGTGTTGGGGAGCTCCATTCAGCGTTCTTTCTACCATGCTTCACGTGTTTGTTAAGAAGGTGGCAGGATGTGTTCAATTGGAATCTATTACATAAAAGGGGCTTACACACTGGGAAGGGTAGCAACATTTAAAATGATCTTATATTGTAAAAAGTCAGGCTTGGGAGCAAAGCAAATGTGATTTTTTTTGGTAAATGCCCAAAACTACTGACAAAAATAAGTGAGTCCCTGGGTGTTACGGGGCATCCGATCTGGGCTCAGCACAGGAAGAATTTTAGAAGCTTTCAGTGGGTCAGCAAATGGAACGAGTCCTCTGGGGAAGGGGAAGCCGGGGCTGGGATGATCATTCATGTGGGAGTGTGTAGATGGTTCCTGTGGTGTCTGTGATGAGTTTCTGTGGCTCTTGGCCACAGTGGTTTACAGCACGGCACAACCTTCCTAACGACCACATTAATCGTGGGGGCTGACCTGAGCACCCTGCACAGTGTCTAATTAAGAACAGGAGCTCAGAGAAGGCAGGCTGCCTTTCCTTTATTTTCTCCTGTCGTGTTCAGAGTAGTCCTCTAGGGCCGGCTCCCCACCTCACCAGCTTCTTCCTCTAAGTGGGAGCAGCTGAGCTTTCCCTGTGGTTTTTTCCCCTCTCAAAGGCCACTCTCTTCTTTAGGACGAGTCTCTCTGCACATCAGACGGACATGCAGGCCTTTCGTGAGCGGATGTTTAATCCATCTTCCCTTTGATCTTCAGGCTGCTTCAGAGAACTGCACACAACCAGTTTGTCAATAAGTATGTAGTCTGTGCCTGCTGTGTGACTGAGCTGTGCACAACACATGTGGATGTGACGCACACCCACGCAAGCAGCGGAAGCTGCAGACCAAGGAGTCATGACTGCAGGGTGCTGAAGAAAATTCAGGGGCTCTAGCACCCACCAGGCCTGCTCTTTACTACCTGAATGACTGTCTGGGTGGGGGAGCAGGTAGGCTAGTTCACTACAGGGATATCTGCTTCCTCATCCATCAAACCGGAGCAATAATGCCTATTTCACAGGAATTGGTGGCAGAAGGAGTTGGATACTGGTGAAATGTATCAATCACACAGAATTGCTGAAAAGAAGCTTGTGAGTAATAAGGATAATGTTAATAATAAAATAAGCCATGAGCTATAGGTTTATAACCTTTTCCTTGGGAATTCAGAACAGATGGACGGATAAAGCTTGAAGTACAAAGAAACAGGCAGTTAAGACAAAAAGTAGTTAAACATTTACACGACAGAGGCACAGAGACCTGGGTCTAGATCTCAAATATACCACTTTGCAGTCATGAGACACTGGCAAAGTTCCCCTCTCCGAGATTCAGTTTCCCTGTGGGTACAGGAAGGATACTAATTGTGTAACTGCTATGGCACCTATGGAGACCAATAGACGAACGTTCAGTACACATGCAGTGAGCACTCAGTAAAGGTTGCTGCTATAATGTTATATCATCATCACGGAAATGGATCCTAGGGGGTAGAATTAGGAGAAACAGAAGAGGAGCAGACCTTTCAGGCACAAGACCTGATGGGAGAGGTCAGCAGCGAGAAGGTGACGGGGGTGATGGGAGAATGAGGAGTCGGCTCTGGTCAGTGGGTGGAGAGGGCTGGCGAGCTCCGGAAACAAGGAAGAGGGCATTACAGCACCAGGAATGGAGTTCAGACTTCATATACTAAGCAATAGGGAGCCAGGGAAGACCCCTGAGCAAGAATTCAAGGAAGAACTGTTTAACAGGTGGACATAAAAGTGTAGCCAAGTCGGAGAACTTTGTCATAATTTAGGTGAAGTTTCAGGACAGTCTGGACGTTCAACAAGTCTATGTTCGAAGCTCCATTTGAATGCCTAGAAAGAGACGAGGCAGAAGTGCAGATGCAGATTGTCAGGTGTGGCCTGGGTGAGCAAGGAGAGTGGTGGTGGCAGGGGCAGAGATGGGAGGCTGGCAGAGGGAGCTTCATCTTCCAGGTGGGCAGTGTGGTGGAAATGAGTCCATGGGACCAATGCTGGTATGTCAGATGGGGACAGACCGTTGGACTTTGGATGGGAAAATAGGACTGAAGACAACAATTTAGAGGCCAGATGTGCCAATTCTGTTGGAAGCCAGGAGAATGGCTGGCCTTTAAGTATGAGCATGGACTGATGCCGGGGGCTTAAGTGGAGAGCAAATATATTGAGAACGATGAGGGTAATGAATGTACAAATGTGCTTTACACAATTGATGTATGTATGGATTGTGATAAGAGTTGTGTGAGTCCCTAATAAAACGATTAAAAAAAAAGTAAGAGCTCGGAAAGAGTGGATGACCACAGGGCTGACCCTGGAAATGCTCAGGGAAGCACTTCCTGGGGAGAGGAAACCATTGTGGAGTCAGAAAAATGATTTCCATTGGTCTCCTGCAGCGGTTCCTGATTCGAGTTACACATTAGAGTCACCCAGGGTAACCAGGAGCTTCAAGCATGCCATGCCAAGGCCCCGTTCTGGACCAACTGAAGCCTCATCTCCAGAGGGTGACCTGTACCTCCAGATGACTCTGCTGGACAGTCAGGCTGCGGGCCACTGGCCCAAAAGTCAGTTGTTAATATGACCCAA